GAGTTAATTTTCTTTGCAGTGGCTGCTCTGGGGCTGTGTTTTGGATTTTAGCTGAACACAAAGTTGATAATATAGAAATGCTTTTGTTATTGCTGAGCAGGGCTTGCACAGAGCCGAGGCCTTTTCAGCTTTTCATAGGGCCAGGGTGGTGAGGAAATTGGGGTTGCCGGGAGGAGACACAGCCAGGACAGGTGACCCAAGGTGGCCAAAGGGAAATTCCAGACCATATGACATCATGCTCAGGACACAAAGCTGCAAGGAAGAGGAGGAGGTTTCAGTGATGGTGTTTGTTGTCCCAAGTCACAGCTGCCTGTGATGGGGCCCTCCTCTCCTGGACATGGCTGAGCACCTGCCTGCCAGTGGGAAGCAGTGACTTAATTCCTTGTTTTGCTTTGCTTGTGTGTGTAGCTTTTGTTTTCTCTATTAAACTGTCTTTATCTCAACCCATGAGTTTTCTGGCTTTTACCCTTCTGATTCTCTCCCTGACCCTGCTGGTTGAAGAGTGAATGAGCAGCTGCCCTGGGTTAAACCACAACAGCCAGAAGGAGCCAAGCACTGGGGATGGACTGGGTATTGCTGAGCAAGTGGTGAGCAACTGTATTTGGCATCACTTGTTCGATTGGGGAGTTATTTTTTTCTCTTTCTTTTAATCATTATTATTGTTACCATTAACATAAATATTACTATATTTTACTTTGTTTTACTCATTAAACTCTTCTTATATCAGCCCATGAGTTTAACTTTTTTTATCTGATTCTTCTCCCCATCCCACTGGGGGAGTGAGTGAATGGTATTTACTTGCTGGCAGAGTCTAAACCAGGACAGTCCTTTGACCACCACAGCTGTAACAAAATTGGTTCTGCTTTGTCTTTTTCTAGTTAAACTGAAAATCCCAGAGCAGAGTCTCTCAAGATGTACATTGGAGCAGAATCTGCCAGAATGCTTTCAGCAGTGCCTTTTTTATGCATCTGTTTCATACAAGAAACTGTAGAATCTGACTTTGGGTAAATTTGAATGTAAATACCCATTGACCATGCTTTCGTGTCAGGATGAGTATGTTGGCAAACTGGATGCTACAAACAGTATGAAACAGCCTTATTCCAGCAAACCTGCAGCCCTGTTTGACTGAGCACCCTCATCTCCACAATCCCTGACTTCTGTAATCTGAGCAGGTTTGTAAAAACAGAAAATGTTAGTGTTGGGGAAGCACTTTCAAATAGGTTGTCTCAAAGTATGTAGCGTAGTTTAAATAATGAGATTGAATCCTTTGTGACTCAAAAATACAGAGGCCCTTTCTTTCTGGAGTAAAATATGATAAATAAAGAGAAAGAAATTCTGGTGAATAAACTGACTTTCAAAGCTGGCAGGCTGGGTAAATTACACTTGGAAGGCTGAAGAGATAACTCGTCCGTCATTGCTTAGGAAAAGCTGGGCTTGGTAACTGATGCTATTCTGAATACTGAAATACACTCTCTAGTAATGCACAGGCTATAAGTTTGATTTGTTTATTTATTTATTCTTGAGTTAGTGATGTTGAGTATCTTCCCTGCACCACGGAACAAAGAGAGCATGAAATTTTGTCACGTAGTAAATATGTTTTTTCTTCTTCTTGGAAGTCATTTTTATATTTTGAGATACATGTAACAAAAGCTAGGGTTGGGCAATCTAGAAGAAAAAGTTTGTCACAAAATCCTGAAGAAACAGGTTTCCCTTAAATATACAAGAAAAGATCAGAATACTGTGGACTTTAATTCTCATTAAATCTATATCTGGCACAAGACTTGGCATAGCATTTGGCAAGATTAAAGCTATTACAGAGTTGCCAGCAAAGGGTGATCTTGGGGTGAGTTTATGTCAGGAAAATTAAAAGGAATGCCAGACCAAAGGTATTTTTAAATACATTATTTTATTTTAATCAGTTTGAGCCTATTCTTTGCTGAGCTGATAAACATAAATAAAATAAAATATACCATGTGTTTCACCTGTCTAGGTAGTTCATATGTAGTTAATGGCAGGGGGTCTTTTAGTAGGTATGTTTAGGGTACAGGTAATTTTCCTTGGTTTATTGGATCTCGCCTTCAGAGCAGGGAAGAAACTAAAAAATGAATTTTGTGGAAGGAAAGCGTATTTTAAGAGCCTTTCATTTGGAGTATCTGGTTAGAAAAGATTTTGGGTATGATGTGCCAAAAATGAAAGTGCAGACATACTTTAGAACCATTGCTTTAAAGCCCCTTTATTCCTCTAACTCACCAAGTCCTTAGGAATTAGAAAATTAAACCTATCATTTGATGTTGTCAAGGTAAAAATATCTTCTTTGGACTGCAGTTATAAGTTTAAATGTTTCTATCATAATTCCAAACATTGAAGAAATCAGCATGTATGTTTGCTGTGCAGTGATCTTTATATTGCACAGCATAAAAGCTACATTTGAAACCATCTTTCAGTTCTCTAGGCACAGAGGGATGTATTAAATTTGTACTCTAATTGTAATAAACTTGTACTTCAGATATTTAACATGATGGTGCTTAAACCTTTTAAGAGGACAATAGTTGCTGAACTGAAAAGAAGAGCCTCTTGTTTTAAACAAACTTTGGTTCTGCTTGTATACTTTCAGCTAGGAATAAATAGATTGTAAGTCTATAGGTAGCTATATATTTGTATACAAATATTTATCATTTAAGTATTTTTGTGATGTACAAGAAAAGCCATTAACCATTTATTTTTCAAAGGCTGATAGCCTTTTCTCTAGTCTTCAAAGTTCCAGTACAAAAAAAAAAATCTTTAAGCAGTATCACATATAGACAGTGAACTCTTAAGCCTGTTGTTCATGGATTTCTATGGAATCAGAGAGATTGCTTGTGTCACATGGCTGGTTTTATTTGTTTATTTCTTTGATGTAATTTGAGAAGGACATGCATTTATATCTGCATGTAACAAAAAATCAGCTGATAGCATAATATTGTACTCTTTATTGAAATTCAGTTTCTTCTTTGACTTAAATGGCAGTAACAAGAAGGCCAGAGAAGTTTGAGTTTGATCTTTTGAGTTGCATGAGGAACTGGGAGCTACAGGGCAGCTGCTCTCCTTACAGAGGTTGTGCCTTCTCCAAACCAGTGTGGGATCCTGTGTGTGTAGCAGACTGATGAGCTGCTCAGAAAGGGTAGTGGCTGGGGGCAAGTGCTGTCCTGATTTTTGTGCACCCTCAGCACCTCTGGAAGTTTCTTCTGTGGAGACCCAGTCTGTCAGTCAAGCTTTTGTATTTTGGTGGGTAGCAGCAGCAGAGGAGACTGATTCTTTGTGGTGGTTTTATGCATTATTATGATACCTCTAAACATGGATGATGCCAATTAGTGTGTTTGAAACAGGATTCATTTTTCTGATGAGTCTATTTTTCTTCAAATCAAAAAGGGCTGAGCTAGGAGATGTGCATTGTATTATATATTCAACCATGATTTTCGTACTGTTGATTTAACTTCTACACAGGTAATAAGAAAGGGTTAGGGACAACTGGACATGAGAAATTCAAGGCACATTTGCCTGCTTGATTTTTAGGTATGCCATAATTCCTGGCCCTAACTTAGTATCTTTGCACGACATACTTTAAGGACTTTAATAGGACACGCAAAGCACTAGCTTAAAACTGCTTTGGTTGTCAGGGCTTCTAGTAATGAAGAATTTCAAAGCCACTTCTGACAAAGTACATCTCAGTAAATACTGGGATAAACCCTGGCTGGTGACGTTGAGGGAGTCTGCCATGAGTCCTAATGGAGAAGATGGGTTGAGATGACATTCCCCTTCACCTCGAATTTGTGCAGAGAAACTTCTCTTGAAACTTTTACACCACCAGGGAGCTGGAGGGCAGCATTCTACATGCATAGCATTGAAACAGACACTTCCATTTTATTCCCTAGACTCGTTCCTTGACAAAATATGAAGTAAATGTATACACTGATGTTCACTTACATCAGCAGTATCCTACATTAAACATTTATTGTTGATAATAAATACCCATCTGTTTAAAATTTCTTTAGTCTTCTGGGCAGATTGTGTTAAAAAAAACGTTGAAAGCACTCTGAATGTATTTTTTTTGGTTTTTTGCCTACTTTGTCAAGGTTTTAAATTCCTGAAATTCAGGTAGCTTAGAACTGAGTATTCTTACATGGTTAAAAAAATGTGCAAAAGTGACTTGTTTGATTAAATGAAATGTGACTTTATACATGTAGTAAGGCAATCCATTCATGACTATATATTTATAAACTGCTAATCTATTATAAAACTGAGTTCTAAGGAAAATATTGAACAGTATTCTTTTTAAAAATTATTACTCATTTATAAAGGATCAACTGATTTAAGTGAGAGTCCTACTTATTTCATGTAATGGTGATTGTAGGAAAGTTAAAGGTAAAAAGGAAGCAGAAAAACTATAGCTGCTTGTAAACATAATTCGAATTAGGAATTTTGTCAAATGTTCAGTATGACTCAATATCACCAGCTCCATGTCCATTGGTGTGTAGTTTCTTTTTCCCAGGCAAAACCAGTCTTCAGGCTTATTGGCACTAAAAGCCTTTGTTGCAAGATCTTTTGTCATTGTAGTTGAGGACCATGCCTGGCCTGAGGGTATTCCTGGTCTTCTGTGATTATATCCAAACTGGGGCACAAAGGTCGTGTGAGTTTGAAGTATTCAAAGTGTGCATCTGTCATCTTTTAGTCATTGGTCACTCTTGAAACTAATTATTCAAGTGCAGTATGGTTCTGTGATGCAAGGAACATGAATGCAATGGAAAATAATGTTAAAGAACCTTTCACTGTGTGTGATTCCTGTGTGACATATTTGAACAGCAGGGTCTTGTGTAATGGGCTGGCTATTACTGGACATCTCTCAGAGCAGCTCCTGTTTTGCATTTAATATTTTAATATTGTATATGGAGGTCACAGATTAATATTTCTGAAATTTGTGTTCAGACTAAACATCATTTCTGTTCTTCATTCTGTGTTCCTAGTCTGGGACTGTAAAACTGACCAAGCCTGTGGCGTTATGGACCCAGCAGGATGTCTGCAAATGGCTGAAGAAACATTGCCCTAATCAGTATCAAATCTACAGTGAGTCATTCAAACAGCATGACATAACTGGTAAAGTATGCACTATCAGAAATATTTTACTTACTTAAAATGTGGTGAATTGTTTTACTTTGCTGTTAATAGATTGTGACTGCACTGAGGGCTTTTTGTTGAATGAGTGACTAGAGGGTTGCAGGGTTTAGAGCAAAGGGAGTATTCCAGCTTTCATAGGATGTGGTAAGTGATATCCTCATTTCTTTAAAAGACAGCTTCAGATAGTTCAGGGTCAATATAATAAGGAAATAAGTCAGTCTGTGTGTGGGTAAAGGCCTTACCCTGTTAATTCCAAAATAAAAAAAAAAAACCAAAAACCCAACCATTAAGAAACATCCTATGAGGAAAATGTAATTTGTGTCTTTTTAATCTTTCATTGAGATGTTTTGACCTTGAATTCATATTCTTTGTGCCTCTCCCCACTCTTTTTGAAAAAAAATAAATTAATCTTCATATTCTTAACAAGTAGGATGGGAAGTGATCCCAACCGAGCCCTCCCTTAGCCTGAAGCAGGATCACTACAGCAAGTTGATTTCTGACGGATGTTTGTCTAGCTTTGTTCTGAAAAACTTGCAGTGAAGCAGATTTTTGCATCTCTCTATTCCAGTATTTTATGATTCTTAAAGTTGGTATTTTCCTAGGATCAACCTAAAATCAAACTGGAAATCAATTATTTCCAGCCAACAAAACTGATTTCTGTCCCAAATGTGGCTTGAGTACAACCAACCACTCTTTCTTACAGTCTTTGCATCACTGTGTAGGGTGTTCCTTCTCAGTTGCACACACTTTCTTGCCTAGTCTAAAAAATATTTCTTTATTCTATCATGGTTTCTCTGCAAATATACACAGGACCTCCAAACCTTCAAAACCATGTCTCTTTTCTTGAAGGAATATATTGGAAGCAAAATTGTATTTTTTTCTTATTTACTTTTTTATTTGCTGTAGTTGTCTTTTGGCTGATAACTTTGAATTGGCATGAGTTTAGCAAATATAACTTGGGACTTAAATAGCGTTTTTGCTCGTATACCAAGGACTAATTAATCTGTAAAAAATTTAATGTGGAGCACTGATTTATTCTCTGCAGTGGTGGTATACAAAATTGGAAATTGGCATTCAGCCATTTAATGTTAAGCAGGAATTTGAGTTTCACATACAAATCTCAGTCTTAACAATAATGCATTGTTAACTAATGTTTCAGTTAATGTTTCATTGTTAACTAATGTGTTTCAGTCAGTGTCTGATCATGTACATGTGTACTTGTGTTGTTTCCAATTTTTTACCTTCATTCCTGTTGCTATTTTCTTTCTGATAATATGTGAATGACTGCAAGCACGACATAGTGCCCATATTTGTTTACTATGTACCTATAAGTACATGTACACACACGTAAGAGGTAGTTTGTATTGGTTTGCTAAGTGTTAATGTTTAGTACATAACCATTGTGCCCATTTCCTCTGTCACCATCTGCTGAATGCAGTCTGTGAGAATGCAGTCTGTGTCTCCACCCATGTGTACAGAGCTGACTGCATCCAGAGCACTACCGGAAGAAAATTAAGCTATTTTAAAATATTTTCCAGTACTGCTTTACTATATTCTCTTTCTAGAATTAAGACACTTGAGATGAAATTGAAAGGAAGACATTTTCATTTCAGCATAAACACTGATGGAAACCTTGGAGTTTCATTGCAGATGTGCTTAACTTTGAACTTTATAGACCTCTATGAAAAAGAAGAATTGAGAACAATCTTTCCTACTTTTCTCAAAAGAGGTATAGGGAAAATATTGGTATGAGTGTTAGAAAGTAAATCTGCAGGAAAGAAAAGAATTTCAATTCAGCAACTACAAAAGAAGAGACACAATCAATATCTGTACAGATTTTATAAAAGTATAATGTGATAATATTGCGAGTGGAATCATTAACTCAGGAGGATGTTTCCAGTGCTGTTGGTCCACATGACTCTGATTATTTGAAATCTAATAAAGGGAAAGAGCAGTGGATTTGTGGCTCAGAAAAAGTAGAGCATGGAGAGAGCATGGAAACTAATGTGAAGATTAAGCTAAGGTAGTGTAACTATTCCCAGGTATTGCTGTGGAAAACGGATGTGATTGTTGAAAAATTCTAAAGAATTAATGTGACTTTACAGGCTGTTTTGATATGGAAAAATATGCTGGAAAGTGACACGAAAAGGATATTTAAACCTTATTTGAAGATAAAATCTAAGACATGGTCATAAGCCAGGAAAATAATCTTGAGCAAACATATCTAACAGTTGTAGATGTTGATTACAGTTTATTGTGGACAAAGATGCTACCAAAACTATCCTTTTCTTTGTGGAGATTTAGATCTTTTTACTACTTCTGACAAAGAGCAGCTACAGAATGTATAAGAAAAAAATCTTAATCTGGAAACTTACCTAATAAGAAAGAAGATCTTCATATTAACAGTGATCTTGAGGATGTCATAGGGTAGGCAGAGTGTACTCTCATCAGATTTGCAGATGACAGCAAAATTTGAGTACCAGTCTACAGACAGTAGGGACTGTCTGTAGGACATTGTAGGGACAATCCATAGGGACCTAGGTATGGGGACCAGATACAGGCAGGAATACATCAATAGGACCCTTATGAAATTCAACAAGGACAATTGCAAAGTTGTGCCACTGGGAAGACCAAGGCTCTTGCACCCCACTGCAGCTGGGGCTGTCTGGGAAGTGGCTCTGGTGAAGAGGACCTTGATAGTCTGGAAGACAAAGTGTTGTGCCTTGCAGCAAAGATAGCTGTCACTATCAACAGGAACACAGTAACCTGATCAAGACTAGTCATTATCCCCTTTACTCTGTACTTCTTAGACTACAGTTCTTAGATCTCCAGTGAAAGTTAGGGTGAGGGCTGCAAAGATGCTCAGGACTGGAGTTCTTGTCCTGTGACCAGTGGATTGAAGGAGCTCAGCTTGTTCAGTCTGGGGAAGAGGCAGCTTGCTGGGGTGAGATGGGGGCAGTAGCAGCAGCTCCCACTATACAGAAGGAGGTTGTCAACAACATGGAACCCCTTCACAGTGATGTATGAGAGACACGAGGCTGAGGCTGAAAATAAGGAGAAACTTTCTTCCCCCATGAGGGCTTTTGAGCTTTGGAATGGGTTGCTCAGTTTCTATTCTGGGAAGGTTTCAAGCCCCAGCTAGATAAAACCTTGAGAAATCCAATCTGGTCTCATAGCTGACCTTGTTTTAAGCTGGAGGTTGGACTAGAAATCTGCTGAGGTCCCTTCTAATCTGAAACCTTCTGTGATCCTATAATTTGCTCAGTACTTAACTGAGTACCTCAGAACCAGCCAATGAAATACATTTTGCAAACAGTTGGTGAGAATTAAATATGGAATAGTCTAATAAGAAACCAGGAAGTATTTTTTAATACATTAAATCCTTGGATTCAGAGAGTGGAGCATATGGTTGACTAATTCAGCAACAGGTGGGAAGTACTTTTAAGGTGTTGGACCCAGAGACAGAACAGAAAAAATCTGAAGGAGTAATGCTGAGCAAGATCTAAGGGCACCTGAATTAGCAGTGGTGGGAAAAATAAGAAAAGGGAGGGAAAAAGAAATGACAGTAGCCTGTACAACAAAGAGGCTCTACAACGGGTGTTGGTGTTTACACCAGTAGGAGGAGACATAAAAAGTTGGATTGACCTGCCAGTTTTCCCCATTCATTTTATACTGGTATATTTCTGATGGTAAACCTGAAAACGAGCCTTGCTCTGTGTGCATTTGTGATTTTGAATTTGCTAGGCAGCAGATGACTGGGGAGTTCTAGAGAGATTAGTTCTTTGATTAGGTCTTATCCTGTACCATTGAAGCAAATGAAGATTTTTCCAATGTCTCAGCATTAACAGGGACAAGACTGGGTGTAGAATGACGAAGGAATAATGATTTTGGGGCATATAGTCCATTGACAAAGTAAGAAAGCACATGTCTAAGTAATTGTTTATGGATGTATGATCTAGAGGGAGGAAGGTAAGAAGGAAAACAGGAAGGAGGGAAGGCAGGAAGGAAGGAAGGAAACTCTGCTTCCCTGCTTCATGTTTTGTTTTTACACCATGTTCCCCAGTATGCTAGTGCATGTCTTCAGAGCAAGAGATTTTAATGCTATGATCATTAAACAAACCTCATTTTGTCAAAGTAATACCCAAGAGGTACCGTGGTCTAATTGAAGGCATTTGATAGGAGGTACTTGAAAGGACTAAAGCCTTTTAAAATTAAACTTTTAAGAAGGAAAGAAACAGGACTCAAGAAAACCTCATTTTAGTTTTAGAAGGCACCAGAACTTTCAAATATTCATTAAATACCAAATGGCACCTTGGAAAGTGAAATATTAACTGATACTGAAAACCTGCTGCAAATAATCTTAAAATCTGGCTAATTCTACATCTTCAAAAGATGCTTGTATTAAATAAGCTTTATTGACATAAATACGCTTTATGACATGAAATTCATATAAAATCATGCCTTCAAAATCGGCATTGATTAATTTTTTTCACTTGATTGATATATTTATAGATTTTAGGGTTTATCATATCAGATTAAATGCTCCAGCTATTTAGCATTTTAGTGAAGAGATAGTCTCATGGTTTAAGATACTACACTGGAATTTGGAGATATCTTGTCTCTATTTCAGTTTACTCTGGAAGTTTACTTTGGAAGCATACCAGATCCTCAGGGTCTAAGTTATTCTAAGTTTTTTAAAAATCGAAGTGTTGCCAGATATCATTCCAATTTTTAGAACATATATAATTTAATTCTGCCCCTTGGTTCATGGACCTCAGGTGAGTTTTGTAATGCAACCAGTGCAGTGACTTGGAGATGAAAGGTGTGCAGTGGACTGCAGGGGCCTATGTTTCATTCCTGGCTCCAGGGCAGGAAGGGTGACCAAAACCAGGTGGGCTTATTCACTGTGATGACACCTCTTGAACATATTCATCCTTTGCCATGTGTTTTGGTTAATGTACAACAGAGATGAAGATTCCAGTGT